AAGAGGGGGTTGTCGAGGAGGGGAGGTCCAGCTCTGGTCTGGGCATCGACTCGGCGAAGGTCGTCGAGGGTCGCGGCGGTGTGGGCGCTGGTAATGACTTTGACAGCGTGGTCGAGGGCTGTCGAGGGCAGCTGGAGCCCTTGCACCATGCAGATGATAACGGCAGCGCTGACGATGTTCAACTCGGACCATTCGTTGATGTCTTTGAGCGTCATGGTATCGTCTCCCGTGTGGCGTGTGCCGGAGAAGATGTGGGCGAGGTCGTTTCGCAGCTTGGTCTCCTCCGAGATGAGGCCATCCTGAACAGCATACGAGCTGGACCGGAAACAGCCCGAATCGTTGGCCATGATGTTGGTTGGGAATATGAAGCTGTTGTTCCTCTTGATGGAGCGATGTTCTGACTGAGAGTGCGTGATGAATAGGATAGGGGGTAACACGAGGGCGCGGAGGTAGCGATTCATCAGCATGGCATGAAGACGAGAAAGGGGAGGATTCTGGGGTGGCCTATTCAAGTTTGCGATGATTCCAGGGGGACATCATTCCTGCTCCGGGGGCGAATAGCGCCCTATCCGGGCAGCCTGCATTGCCCCCTGACAGCCTGTGCCTCCTCCTCCTCTCAGAGGCCGCCCGCCCGACGTGCATTTACAGCACCACATCACTGCTCATTGGCCCCTGGTTTTTCCACTCAAGCTTGCTTGCATTGACAAACGTATCATATGACGACCAAAATTGATGAATGAGCGAATAGAAGCCCAACCCTTTTCCACCTCACATCCAATGTCCCTGACCAACATACTCAAGTCAACTTGAACTGCATGTCTGACATGATACTCATGTCCCACCCTAATAGGCACTCCGGCGCCCCGTGCCGAACCAATCCTCCCCGGGCGTCTGGTAATTGAGATTCTCCAAACACGTATTCCTCTTCTCCAGCTTCCCCTCGAGTCCCCTCGGCACCGGCCCGCTGTACGCCCCCTTACTCCTCAAGTCATTCATGTCCAGATCCCACATCTCGCCCGTGTTGGCATCAACACCCACAAGCTGCGTCATGCCGTCGCGGCCCACCCCGCGCTTCAGCTCGGGAAACTCCTTGCTGTTCCAGATGCTGTGCGCGTTGTTGTTCTCCACCGTGCCGGTGCCGTAGTTGGCCAGCCCCCGCGGCTTCAGCGAGTACACCCACACCCGCCCGCTGCACCGCCGCGCCATGGCCTCGGACATGTTTTCAAAGTACCAGAACCGCACGGGCGGGTAGTCGAGGTGCTTGAGCCAGCTGTTGGGCACGCCGATCTCCCAAAAGTTGCGGTACTTGTCGCTGTCGTCGGGCACGGTGCCGGGGGGCGCGACGTTCTCTGAGCGGCCGGGGTAGAGCGTCTGTAGGGGTAGCACAAGGTGTCAGTGTCTGGTCCTTGCCAAAGATCCGATTCACTCACCCATAGAGACACCAGGTTCCTGTTGCATGCCCAAGCCGCCGCCTTGGCTGACAGGTTTTCCTCTGCCCCCAGCTGGAGCGTCTTTCCCTCGACCGCGCGCTCGTCGTTGGGCACGCCCGTGTAGAAGACGCAGCGGTCCTTCATCTGGTCCTTGCTCAACAGGATCTGGTCCACGAGCCAGTCCGTCGTCAGGTCGCCAATCTCCATGCGATCGCCGCGCGTCTCTTTGCGACAGCCCAGGCAGTGCTTGGCCTGGGGCCAGCTGCCCGGCATCACGGTGCGGTCATCGGCGCGCCTCGTCAAAGTCTTGCGAGTTTGATGTGGCTGGGCCGAGAACCCTGACGATGAAGAGGGAAATGGCCTACCGCCGCCCAGGGCTCCCCAGAGCGTGGGGTCGTCCCAGGAGATCTTAACGAGATGGTTCTGCCGAAAGGGATCGTTGTCGGCGTCACGCGGCGACGAGCTGAAGCTGTGGTGGCCGCTGATGTGGCCGGCTCTTTCAAGGCAGAGGGCGAGGGGGAGGCAATGAAGCCAGAGCAAGAGGACTGCAGCCGCCCTGATGGTTGCCATGGTTTCTGTTCGCAGATGACTTGGGAGAGGGTATTGTGATCCGCCTCGAGTGAGGACTAAACTTGTCGTAGGTGAGACTGGGAACAGAACACCGCAGTGTCTAGCTAGGACAAGGACACGAACGCTGGGGGCATCAGGAGACCCGGAATCAGAGACGTTCCCGATCTTCGGCCGGATCAGGGCTGTTGTTCAAAGTCCCAAAAGGAAGTCATTCCCCTTGAGGCATCGGTCGAGGGGAAATTGGCACCAGACATCACCACCACCTCGATAAGCCAAAGCGAATCCTTCTCGGACGCATTTCCCAACTCGGTCAAGAAACATGCAGATGGACAAGCCCCGGTTGGCATTCTGCAGCAGAGTAAGACGCAGAGTTGCAGTGCAACGTGGGGGTGGCTGCATGTGCCTTGCAACTGTCCAGCCAACCATAGTTCCCTGTCTCCTGTGACGCCTGGCGTTTATTAGCCTGACATAGCCAGCCCCAATGCAACATCGACGATGGGGTTGTCCCAAACCCTGAGGAGTTCCTGGTTGTACCAGTACCTGTGGCAATATATGGACTTTGGAACGTGGGATATGGGCCACACTGAATAGGCGCGGGAACCGATGAACTTGATCCGATGAACTATGGTTCGGACAGCAACCCCCGTTCCCGGTTACGCTGACGCCTGACCTGTCCGGAAGATGGACTTGGCCTTCCGGCCGGAAATCAAGACCACTCGTCCGGGGGATGGGTACCTTTTAGGGGCTTCGTGATCCTGCGAGGTGTCACATTGCATCCAACTATCGAAAGATCAACAGGGAGGTAAATTGCTCAGCTCACCTTGCCTGGGTAGTCTCCATTCACACTTGATCGAATGCTCCAGGACGTTGTCATTACAGTCTGACAGGGTGAGTTCATGGGTCTGACTGTGTCCTCCTGTCCCAAACGATTCACGCCCGGCGTCTATAAATCGCGTCTTCGTGGGACAGCACACCATGAACCTCACGCAGTCTACTCAGCATTGATCTCACCTCATTTCCCGGGAAGGAGAAGAGCACCGCCGATCAGTGCCATTGTCTCTTGTCTCGCACGTCTTTCATCCAATCTTTTCCGTGCTCAGTACTCCCCCAAGATGCGATCATCCCTCCGCCTCGGCGTTGCGCTCGTGGCTCTCGTCCGCCTTGGCGCCGCGCAGTTCACCGTCGAGCCTCCGACCACAGCGCCTTCAGACACCATCCAGGACTGCACCAACTGGCACGTCGCCGCCGCCGGTGACACCTGCGCCGACTTGGCGGAGCAAAACTTCATCACCGAGGCCCAACTTCTGCGCTACGTGAGTCTACTACCCCTCCACTCAACTGTCTCTCCAGATCCCCTCGGCTGATTCCTCATAGAACCCCTCCCTCGCCAACGGCTGCAACTTTGTCGAGGGCACATCATACTGTACAGAGCAGAACTGGGGCATCCCCCCTCCGCCTGAGACCACCTCCACCACCGCCGCGGCCGCCACCACAACGTCTACCGGCATCGTCACCCCGCTGCCCACGCAGCCCCCGTCCATCGTCCCCGGCTGCACGCGCTTCCACTTTGTCCAGACCGGCACAGACTGCACCACCATCCTGAACCAGTACGGCATCACCATTGCCCAGCTCTACGCATGGAACTCGGGCGTCGGTCCGACCTGCAGCGGCCTCTGGGCCGAGGTCTACGTCTGCGTCGCCGGCCCAGCCGTCGGATCCCCCACGACGACGCAGGCTTCCACCACAAGCGCGAACCCGACCTCCACGGGGGCCAACGGCATCGTCACGCCCTCCCCGACACAGCCGCCCTCCATCGTCTCAAACTGCAACAAGTTTGATTTCGTTGACCCCGGCACCTCCTGCACCAATATCCTCTCGCGGAACGGGCTCACCATCGCCCAGCTCTTCGCGTGGAATTCGGGCGTCAACGCCGATTGTTCTGGCATGTGGGCAAACGTCTACCTATGTGTGGGTGTAATCGGCGGCTCTCCAACCACCATCACAACATCAACCACCCGGGCCACGACCACGTCGGCCGGCAACGGCATCACCACACCGACACCGACACAGCCGCCTTCTATCGTTTCAAACTGTAACAAGTTTTACTTTGTGGAGCCCGGAACGTCGTGCACGCAGGTGCTGTCCGCGAACGGCATCACGCTCGCCCAGCTCTTTGCCTGGAACTCGGGCGTCAACTCAGACTGCTCTGGCATGTGGGCGAGCGTACATCTCTGCGTGGGCATTATTGGCGGCAGCACCCCGACCACAACGACGAGGGCCACGACCACGTCGGCCGGCAACGGTGTGGCCACGCCGACTCCTACCATGCCCAACATGGTGACCAACTGTAACCGCTTCTATAAGGGTGAGTCCAGTCTCCTGGGTGGGATCATTCACGTTCAATGTCTTGTGCGTACTGACAAGCGGGCCGCAGTGGTGGAAAATGACACGTGCGACGTCATTAGAGGCAAGACGGGCGTGTCTAATGCCAATTTGATTTCTTGGAACGGCCTCGGTGCCTCGTGTAATGTCTGGCTTGGGTATTACCTGTGCACCCGGCTCATATAGGCAATCCAGCAGCTGGATACAGCAGAGACGTACACATTAATCAATCATGCAAATATTTCTGTAAAAAGAAATTTCATCAAGGTTTTAAAATTTACCACCCGTCATCATGAACGGCTACAGAAACTACCCCCTCTTCCCCCTCTACCATGTCAGGCAAAAGGGGCTTCTACCATGACCATAGCATCTTTCACACAGCCACCTTCCTTGGAAATCGATTTGCCTCGAGGTGGATACAAATGGAAAGACGAAGAAATGGATATCGTCTCTCCGTGAACGACATACATAGCCGTCCTCGTGCCTGTCACGTGTACCACCCGCGCACGGGTCACTACACACACCGCCTCAGCCTGCAACTACCCGTCCAGCCCTTCCCAGTAGATCTGCTCCTTCCTTTGAGAGGCTTCCTGCCGCAGACTCATCAACAATCATCACATCCTAGTGGGGTAGTGGTTAACCCACCAGGTTTTCATACAGAGATGTTTCCCTGGGTACCCGAGTTCGAATCTCGGCTAGGATACAACATATACTTTTTGGCTGGCTGCCAATGACTTTTGGGAATGCACGCATGTCTAGTTCACTTCGGAATCCAGTCCGCATGTCCTTCTGTCTGTGTTAGGTCTGTTTGCAAGCCGGGATTTTCCTCCGTTGCAGGTTCCCAACCACGTTCTACTTTCTTTACAATACATCATTTCAAAATAATGCGAATCAAAGGCAAGAAAACCTTGCAGAAGGTCATTCCATCTGTCGGAGATGCTGCAAGCTGCCCATACCTCGACCGTTTTATCCAGCACGACACGAGATCAAGTTGACCAGGCCATGTCTGATATTCACCTCTCGCACTGCGCAACACTTGGAAACTATCGCTGACAGTGTGTCAAACAGATAATATTCAACAAGAACATACCCCCCAAGCTACATCCGACCTCAATACCCCCAAACTATACCCGACCTGTGGCACCACCCTCCTCCTTGACGAACCTCGGCCCAGCCTCATCAACATGCAGCCTCAACCGCAATCCAGCCGCAAGGTCCCTCAGCTCCCCATCACCCTTGTTCTGCCAATCCCGAAGATGTTCACGACTATCAGGATCAAGTCGCAGCAGCAGCGTCGCCAGAGGACTGGTTCGCCACGCCTTGATACCAGCCCGACGCGTCTTCCATACCACGCCGATGAACAGCGCAAGTCCCAGCAGCCATACCGCCACGGGCGCAGCGACATATTGCCACTGCGCGTGACAAATCTGCATAGGCTCCTTGGTGACACCGTCAATAGCGCGGCGCTCATCTTCTACGGTCTCCCACGTGCTGATGCGCATACCGTTTGTCACGCCCGCCGCAATGTTGCGAGCGGCGCACTCCAAGTCGTTGCTCGTGCCGAGTGTGTTGTTACAAAAGGTGCCTGTCCAGTTGCCGTGCTGGCTGTTGAGGAAGATGCTCATCATGGCCTTGTCGGTGGCTGAGGTCGATTTGAGCGTGTCGACGCCGCTCTTGAAGATGACTGTGAGGTCTGTACCATCCAAGGGACCAGTGAAGACGTAGCCGGTGAGGAGAGCGCTGAGGTAGTCCCTCAATGCCCAGTAGGCGGTACGACCGAAGCCAAAGGGGCCGTACTTGATGGACTCTGCGACATTGGGGATCTCCTTCTCCAGGTCAAAGGTGACATATACGTCTCCCCAGTTCTCAGGAGGGCCCGTGACACTGAGAGGATCCCATGTGTCCCAGTGATCGTCGAGGATGGAGAGGGAGGGAACACTTTCTTGGATGTTGGCCGATTGTCCTTTGGAAGTGTCAGCCCTTCGGGTCAGGTTGAACCGCTGCTTCTGGACGCATGGAACCAAGGCGCATTCCCGGGCCGTCAACACCGAGCTTTCGTCAATGCTGAACGGTGCAAGAGTTGATGGCTTCGATCCATCCGCCGCGTTTTGCTTGGGATCGTACCCCATGATGGACTGGATGACAGCCAGGGGAGTTGTGTAATTGTACACGAGAGGCGGCGTGGTAGTGTTGACAGCCATGACAATCTTGCTCAACGGAGCCCCCAGGTTTGCGGATCCGGTATTGTTGAAGCCGAAGCCATTAGGGAGGAAGACGTTGCAGCCGCCCACCATGTCGTCCTCGCCGGCAACTGGGGTGCATTCCCGGGACACGAGGTGACTGATATCGGTGCAGCGAGCGCAGACTCCAGCGGTATAGTAGTCTGGCCACTCGCAGCTACCCGTCTTGCAAAGATTGGGAGGAATCGTCCACGAAACGGAGCTGTCTCTGAGAGCTGAGTCGATAGCGAAGCTCATGGCTCGGTCGATTTCTGAGATGCGTCAGCGAGATGCGTTGCGAGGGAGGGGCATGGTTGAACCTACGCGTCTGATTGTCGCCAAATTCATAGCCTTCATGGTAAGACGAGGTGAAGGAGGCCAGGGCTGTTTGATTTCCGGGGCGGTACTCGATGGTGATGACGATGAGGTTCTGCACGAAGGGGCCATATGCCAGGGCCAGCAGCGATGCGAGACCACCAAGGACTGCAAGGTGTCTGGTCAACGTTAGTCTTCGTCCATACAAGCACTGATGTCGTTCTTACTTGAATCGCAGCTTCCACATCAGCTGCGCACTTCCCACCTTGCCTCGCGACGCCGAGTCGAACGTCTCCAGATCAGCGAGGGTGCGGTCCTTCTCCATGAACCAAAGATACTTGAGCTGACCAAGGCCCTTCGTGACGGGTATCATGGCGCATGTCGATCCAAAGACGGAAAGAATGGAGAGAAGCGAGTTGATGGTGAACTGGAAGGGTTTGTCGCGGCCAGGCACCTGAGCCACCCAGACAGGGGCTTCCTTGTCGTCATAGTACCAGACAACGACGCAGATGGATACGATGGCTAGGCCAGACACGATGATGCCGAAAACCTCCCAGGCGTAGTACCAGTCGTCGAAAAGGGCGGACCAGCGAGTTTTGCCGGGCTTGCCCTCCTCCTGGGTCGATGGTTCAGGTGACTCGGGGGCTACGGCCTGTTCCGTGACGGGAATGTCAGGCTTGACAGCGGCGGGGGCTTCGGGCGTGGCAGCCATGTTTGGTGTTTTGACAATGGTGACAGACGTGGGCTGGAATGAAAGCGTCGAGGGGAGAAGGCATTCCTATCTACCTCCAACATGTCAAGCTCGACCCAGCACACTTCTCAGTCCCGCCAAAATCTGCCGAACCGCACAGATCCTCGGCATTTTGATCATCCCAGGTCTAGACATGGCCCACGCCGACGTGGTTAACCAGCTGAACATCCCAACTAGGAAGAAGAAAAGCGTGGCACCGCTCAACACCCCCCCCGGGAGCCGCCGCTCCCTCGCTTACTAGCGAGTCGAAGTCAACCAGTGCCACGATAAGAACCCCCTCGGGCAAAATCGTCCGCTCATCACCCCTGACCGCCATCACATTCCTGGAATAGAGCAGCGGGATGGCCCTGTCTGGGCGTTTGACGGTCCAGAACGGGCCCGGGAACAGACGCCATCCGAGGGGTGCCAGTGCGAAAAGGGGCCAATCCCTGAGACCCTTTCTGCTCAGCTCGGCACTAGTATCAGCCCCATCCGCTTCCGGCCTCGATCGCTGCGTTTGAAACTTTGCCATGACCCAAATCAGACTTTTAGGAATGCCATAGTGTCGTTGGCGCCATGCAGGGCTTCGTGAACAACACGCCGTGGCCACGTCTGGACCAAGGTCGAGTGGTTCGTGATTCGCCTCCTCGCAAGCGATCTCGTAGTGCGGCCAGTCGCGAGACGCCGGGGATGGGGGCGAGGTGTTCAGCTATGTCAAACTATTTCGCCTGAGACTGCGGGGATGAAAGTCCATGTGCTGTTCTATTAGGGCGAGACCTGGCGAGACTGTTGGTCCCGGCCTTTGAGATCTGACGGGTGTCATGTGCCCTTAGACGTCTGACTTATCAACACGGCCACCCACGACTTTCGCCGCCTGTGTCGTGCCTTGGCCGTGAGATCTTGACCTCCTCGGAAAAGTGCACTCGCCATGGGAGACAACGCGACCTACGACGTCGAGAAGACGGCTGCCAATGCCCCTGCTGTCAAAGTGGCATCCGTCTCGTCCTCCCCCCGACCGTCCTCCGATAGCAGCCGCCGCCCAGCCCTCAAACAGGCCAGCAAATTCAGCTTCACCGAAAATGAAATCCTCAAATACGAAGGCGCCAATGCCGGCACCCGCGAAAGCCTGGGTTGCATGTACGGACGCATCTGGAGCTTCAAGGCTCTGCTCCGATGGATGCGACACTTTTTCCCCGTCGCTGCCCTTCTCGCTATCCCCGTCGCCCTCTTCGCGACGGTCTACGCAGACCGACGCGCCGGCGGCATCCGGCTTCTTGGCCTGTTCGTCTGGCTCGAGGTCGTCTGGGGCAGCCTGTGGCTCTCGAAGCTCATCGCCATGCTGATGCCGACGGCCTACGTCTTCGTCTGCGGCATCGTCAACTCGGGTATCCGGAAATACCACCCCATGGTGCGCATGATTGAGACGTCCATCTCCCTCGTCATATGGACAATCATAGCCTACGCCACCGTCGTGCCAGTATGCATGGCTTTTGACCAAGGCGCGCGGAAACCCAACTGGGTCTCCGTCCTGCAAAAGGTTGCCCTTGCCTCCATCGCCGTGGCAGCCATGGTCCTCGCCGAGCGCTTCATCATCCAACTCATCAACATGACCTATTCTGCCAAGCAGTTTACCAAGCGCATCGCCGACTCCAAGAGCCGCGTCGCCATGCTCGAGGCACTGTACGTGTCTTCGGTGCGTCGCTTCCCTCCGTTTTGCGACCGCTTCGCCCACGAGGACTACACCATCATTACGGGCGAGGTCGGCCAGGAGGAAAGCTCGCCGGGAAAGCTCGTGACCAACCTGCGCATGGCTGGTCGGGAGGTCGCTCAGGCTTTTGGACAGATGACGGCAGATATTTCGGGCAACAACTCGCTGTTCAACACCCAAGCGGCGCATACCATTGTCACCGAGGCTCTTGAAGCCACCACGTCGTCTGAGGCACTTGCATCGCGCATCTGGAAGTCCATGGCTGCCGAGGACAGCGACGCGCTGACGCAGAAGGACATCGAGCTCGGCTTGCCTCCTCAGCACCGACACGACGCCGAGCAGCTGTTCGCCCTGCTTGATGTTGACCAGAATGGCGACGTCAGTCTTGAGGAGATGATCTTGTCCGTCGTACGCATGGGCGAAGAGCGAATGGCGATCTGGAGAAGCACCCACGACATCAAGTCAGCCGTCCGTGTGCTCGACCGATTCCTCCAGATCTGCGTCCTCGCCGGCACGGGACTCATCTACGCCGCCTTTTTCAGCAACTCCTTTGCCACATATCTCGCCACCATTGGCACGCAGCTGGCCGCCATCTCTTTTGCCATCTCCGGTACCGTCCAGGAATTCCTGGGTTCGTGCATCTTCATCTTCGTCAAGCACCCCTTCGACGTCGGCGACCGTGTTCGCATCGACGGTCGCGAGATGATCGTCGAGAAAATCTCGCTCCTCTA